GAGCCAGCGTGTGATTTTCTTTTACATTAAACGACATGAAATAGAATGTTTAAATACATGCATATATAGTTTGGTATTCTGTTGCTAATGCAGTATTGAACTCTGGGAATAGTATTCAGACATTAACACCAACAAGTACAATGATTCTTAGTGTGAGAATAATATTCCATTGGAACACATTTTCTGTATCACATCACCACACTCGTTCATTCATCAAATACTTCAGATCGAAGTCGGTTCGATCTTCTTGGTGCTGACGTCTTTGTTTGCTTCTCTTGCTGTACCCAGTTCCGGAATTCTCTGACGTTCACCCCTTTCTCTTTGTTTGCACTTTTGATGGTATATACGTAAAGCCGTCTCACGGTGACCGAGTATGTTCCTTCCCACTTTGAAAGCAGTTTGCGTGCCCCTAGCTGGATGGCGCGTATTCGCCTCACATTATCATATGCTGTCTTCGTCCAGTCTCCCAGCAGCCTTCCAAGTGAAAGCCTCTACGCTGACAGATCTTGAACGACAATCAACTCCGCAACGGGCTCGAAGTCTTTCAAGAAGATGGATATGTCTCCTTCTTCAAAAACTGCAGGCTGTTTGTTTGTCAGCATACAGAGACACCAAATGTAACAGCAGAAGGCAAGACACGGAAGCCAAGGTATTTTTTCAAGTGATCAGACAGCTATTTATGTATATCTATACAGTTTACATTCTTTAACCAATCAATGAGCGAGCGTGTTATTTTGGTTTACATTACACGACGCGAAATAGAATGTTCAAATACACATATATAGTATAGTATTCTGTTGCTAATGCACTATTGAACTGTGGGAACAGAAGTATATTTGGGAATAATATTCCGTTGAAACACACATTGTTGTCTGTATCCCATCACGACATTCTTAGCATGCGCGCTATCCCCTTTCTTTTTGTAAATATAAATTTGATGCAGAAGATTCAGTCTGCACATTGACTTCTAATTTATATAAGGTCTATAGAGAGAGAGTATGTGTGTGTGAATAATGCCAAATCTAATCGACTAGAGTGAAAATTCGAAAACTGCTCTGTTGTAAACACAAAGAGCGTATGTTTAAGAAGAGGACAAATTCATTGTCTTCCGGCAAACCACTGTAATGACAGAAGACAAGGGCCAGGCAACAGATCGTTTATTGAGAAAACCAAAAGATATTTATAGATTTTTATGTACATTAGTGTCAGCGGAGAAGCAACGTCTTCTGATTGGTCGTTTTCTTGCTGAACGTTATTCTGTACTGCTTGTGACCGTTTCTGAGAAAGTTAGGCGATATGTCTGCGAATCAAATTTACACACGCTACGTCTACTGTGGTTGGTTGGTGAGTTCCCCAAGGTTAAGCTTTGTTATGGTTGTTTATCATAACCCCGAATCGGGACGTAACGTTGACGGAAATTGTTGTTTACAATTTTGGCTGGCAGCCTGCCCTCACCACACCACCACCTCTAACTACACTAGTGCTATTCTCCAGTTAGCGTTTAATTTCACTTTCAACTTCTGAGAGCTATTACCAGTCGCAGAAACCATATGATATGCATCACTATACTCTCTTCTGAATACGTCAATTCTGGTATCTTGGGTGTTTTTTATGCATGTAATTCCACTGAGATAAGTGGATGCATTCATTTAATCTCAACTGGCAGCATGGTTTTATAATAGACTCCTTAGTAGTGTTTTCCCGTAGGTCTTGTCTCCATTCATAATCTCAGGGTTGAAATAAGGTGAGGTACCTTACCTACCTGTGGCGAAATGGTTATTCACCGTGGGAGAAAATCAAGCAGATGAAGTTGGATGATAATTAGGAAGGCCATATGTTCCTATGGAGGTGTTTGTGTATATGGGCAGCAGTTGATTCCCGGCTGGCTGCTCACGACGAGAAACAGGAGCATTAGTGTTACGTGACTGCACAGTCCAGAGGAAAATTCCTTGAAGCCCATCTGTTTAAAGTGGTATTTCGAGTTGTGCCAAATCCAGATCTAACCGCCGATCACGGGTCACCGTAAAGTGAGACGAAATGTACAATTTTCATGGTCTACCTATTCCAACTCCACTGTCAAGAGAGGAGAGGCAACATAGTAGTCAGTCATCTGCTGTTACATCATCCCTATTCGCCAGCAGTATGACCTCACACACAGACCCTCGACATAGTGTAAGCGGCTTTCGTGAAGATGGTAACCGCTAACAAAACCATCATTCTGTCACAGTAGGACTTGAAGAGACATTGGTCCCAGCTACTGCAGCTCGTTGTGTCAGTACGATATGCAAGTGCGACCACCACGTCATAGTTGTAGTTAACAGTGGTCGTGAGCGACTTTACACGACCTGCCTGTTAATCACGACAGACAGACAAGCTGTGACAGTTCACCAATCTACACGACGTGACCAGCCAGCAGGCAGTCAGAATCGAAAGACAAGCAAGATACGCCTTCATCAACCTGAAACCAGTTTGGAAATCTCCTGCACTGCACTGCACCTCAGCATGAACAACAAGATTCGGATTCTATTCAACACAAATGTCAGTGAAGTCAGTCAGTTCATCTAGGTTCATCTGGGTCAGAAACTTGCACTACTAGTGTGTCACGAAAAGGATTTCCAGTAGGCTAATACAGACTTTTATCAACAACTGCCCCCTTCGACGGCTGACTGGCTCCATATTGAAGATCAAATGGCTGGCCGTAAACACGTAGCTAAACACCTCCCTCTTCGACACCTGGTTGGGTTAATGACAAAATCTTCAATCTATGAACACTTTTTGAAGTCAGGTCATTCAACCGCCCTCCCCAGCTCGTGATTTATCGTTTCAACTTTTCTACAGCATTAAATACAGTCACTGAAAAAGCTTACGTTTTCTCCGCTTATGTATGGCCGAAGCTCTAGCTCTACGTGAACAGAAATCTAAATGTTGTATTCAACAAGAGTTTTGTCAAACCACTTTCTTCACCTCGGTCATAGGAATGTTCTTACCACGGGAATTCATTGCACTTCACCGTCGCCGTATTTATTGTTGTCCTCACCGTACTGTTAATTTTTCAGAGAACACCTGACCTACAATTTAAACAGAATCTTTATACCAGTTCAATTATTTAATAGTCATCCCTAATAAAAGTTTTGCAATTTATCCACTTCAGTCAACTCTACCGCGCCTACTCCTCACCCTTAGTACATCATTTAAATAATCTTTAATTGTATCATCATATGTGCAATATTGACGACTGAGCACTTTCTAGTGTCACTCATGAATGCCTGCTATTTTCCGTAATATAAATACGACTGCTGTACAACAGTTGGCTGATTGAAAAAGAAACAAGAGACAAGCAGAATTACAGTATATCAAAGCGTTGGGGGTGAGTTTAAAGCCAAAGATTACGTAATCAAATGAAAGAGAGACACAGTGAAGACCAGACAGAAGAGCAAGGAAAGATCGATACTGACTGCTTCTTTGTGAACACATAAATCGGGTTTCAAGCGTTTGATAGGAATTGCTTCGACAAACTCGAGGAGGATTGAACTCTTTTACCTGTTGATAATTTTGAACGATCTTGTGATGTCCACCTCATGACTCGTGTCAAGGAGATGACTGGCGATGGCACTGTTTAACGCATTTGCTCTCTTTAGATATAGGCTTTTTGGTACATGTTGAGAAAATCGGTGTTGTGCCCTTCTTTCTGTACTTCCAGTGTTACTGCTCTCGCAGATACATGTAAATTTGTATACACAGTTGGAATTGTTAACGTAACAGAAATGGATATCTGTCGATTTTTGACTGCACCAAAGGAGAGCAATTTGTCGGGTAGACGGAAACCAAGTTAGCCATTATATCCAATTCAAATTATTGTGTGGAATTGTCACTACAGCGTATTATTCCACTCCCTTTACCTAAGTAGTTAGCGTATACCGAGAGTATGCCTACTGAAGAAAGAACTTTGAGATCATATATATATATTTCTTCATACTTTAAAGTGACTCGCTCCTTTCCTGTGATTGCAATTTTAATACAGAATAGTCCAAGTGTTGTTTCGTTATCTTAGTCGGTGGAATGTAATACGAAAAGTGTTGTAGTGAATTATACTGCTAAGTAGTTAGCATATATCGAGTGTATGGCATGTACTCGAAAGGCCTTCCGAAGAAAGAACATTCAGATCATATATATATATATATATATATATATATACTTTGATTGGACACTAGTCAGTAATTAGTGTGATGTGTCTAGCTAGTCCTTTGTTTGGTGCAGGTTGAATTCTATCAGTCAGTTAGGCTTGCATTATGGCCGCCAATGGGCTAGGTGGCTCGTCATCGCCATGTACATTGATTTGATGATATTAGATGGTCGAAGGAAATCGGTAGGAATCCTTGCTCGACCTCGGCTTCGTGCTATAGGAGGTCGATCGCGTGCCTGAATAGCTGAATGGCAACGTCTCATAGTCACTTCAGTACTCACTGGGTGATGTGGTTTTAAATCTCAGAAGAAGGGTCATGAGTTGTGCCTTCAATATAATTGCAGATACACGCCCTGCTGACTGACTGGTGAGTTCCAACTAGCACGAATCTTAGATCTAGGCAAGGCTTCCTTCCTGTGGTCAGTTGCCTCCAACCATCTAATATCATATATATATATATCTTCATACTGTAAAGTGACTCGCTCCTTTCCTGTGATTGCAATTCAATACAGAATAGTCGAAGTGATGTTTTGTTATCTTAGTCGGCGGAATGTAATACGAAAAGTGTTTTAGTGAATTATACTGCTGCTATAGAAGACACACCCACATCAAACAAATCGATGTTCACACTTCATTCACCCATCCATCCAGCCATGTGATTGTGTCTAATTCAAGAATGAATTAGTGAGTATTGGTAGTAGTAGTAGTAGTAGCTGTTTGTGAGGTGAGTTCAATATACACAATGCTCATCTAATATCAATCAATATATGTGTGTATATGTGTATTTATATGTCTGCTATTCTGCTTCTCCACACAGAATCTCTAATCTTGGAATGTACGGTATTCGAGAATTCACTGCCATCGTGAATCTTCCACAAGTAGCTATTCTAGCTGTTGGAACTGGTTTACCTGAAGCCAGTACCCCCATCCCCACGCCACCAATCGATTCAATGAAAGGAATCAATTTTTCAACGAATATAACACTGACATTATCAGTGGATTCAAGATGTGTGGGTGTGAATACAGCAACAGAAACGTGTGCAGGTCGATTCTTACGATACGTGTCACATCTGTTAACCGAGCATCCTCAATTATTGATTCACGATGATCCGATCTGTGGATTGCTGGAGAAGAATAAGACGGACATTCAATCTTCTGAGCTGGACGAGTTTGATACAATGATGCTTTCTAGAGAAGGTGTGACAGAAGATTTGATTTCAGTGAAGACAGTATAATTCCAAGCACACCCACCCCACTAGACCGCCCACCCCCACCCCTACCCCGCAGTTTAGTGTCATCACAAATTTATAGTGTTCACTTGAGTATTTTGAGTTTCAGTGTGTGTGTGTGTGTGTGTGTGAAGACAGTTCATGTGTTGTTGTTGGTGGTGTGTGTGTGTTTAATGCCTATCACAAATGTAATTCCTCCTTCTCCTCCTCCTCATCATCATCGTCATCATCATCATTTGAGATGATGAACAGCTTCTCTGATTTTTCTTCAGTTTTGTTCTCCTTCGCTGTGCTTCGCTTTTTATGACCATCGGCAATCATGTGTAGTTTATTTATGAAAGAAAGTGTGTGAATGGATCTTTGAGATGATTTTTGTAGTTAATTATTTGAATGTATATACACATACATACACATTATTGTTATTATTATTATTTCGATAGAGAAAGAAAGACCAGATTTGCAGTATAAAATGATATCATTCTATTTCACAGGTTCTCATCAGCTGCAAAACTACCTGAAATTACAATGGTTATAAATAATAACATTTCATACTTCATTGTTTGAAAGGTAATACAGAAAGCATTATAAGATAAACGCATCCGGAATATAAGGATTAAAATTTTTTAGTTTAAGTTACCATCAATTTATATACTATCAAACTATGAAAAAAGGAAGATAAAGGGGGGAGGTGAGAGAAGACAGAAAACAGAAAAATCTAATAAACAGTGTCAACATGGCAACTCAACAAGGTCAAAGTTCATCAATTTGAAAACTTGCTTAGTGAGTTGACCTCACTAGTGTCTATGAGTAATCAGTGTAAGGAAAGTGATATGGTTACCAAGGGAGTGAGAGATTGACTACACTCTCTTTCTGTGTGCATAAGTTTGGTCTGAGACGTTTGATTGCAATTGCTTCAGCAAATCGTAGTAGATTCGCTGTCCTTTGTATGGTTAATATTTTGAAGGACTTGGAAATCTCGACAAAATGGCCTGTATCCACAAGGTGTCTGGTAATTGCACTTTGTAAATATTTGCTTCCTTTTAAGCATAAGTTTCTCGGAATATGCTCTGAAAACCGGATAGAAGCCCTTCTTTCTGTCCTTCCGATGTATTTGCTGCCGCAGGTGCACGTAAATTTATAAATGCAGTTGGAGGTAACATCAGCAGGGTACTTATGCAGTTTCGATTGGCTTATAGAGAATGTAGTACTGTATAGTGTCACCAGATTGGCTGCAGGGAAGCATATCTTTATTGCTCCTTTCATCCTCTTTCCAATCTTTTGCGATACTGTTTCTCCTTTGTATGGGAGGCAAATGAACACTTTCTTCTTTTCAACTGTTGGATACCTCTCTTTCTCTGCTGTACTTTAGGATAAATCCTTTTGGATACCCGTTTTCCTTAAGGCATTTTTCAACAAAGCTTAATTCTTCTATCTTGTTGGGCGAACATAACTCCCTAGCCCTGTCGTACAGTGTCCTTACTAATCCCTGCTTATAGCTCATAGGGCAGAAGCTGTTGTAGTGAAGGTATTGTCCGGTCTAAGTTTCTTTTCTGTAGATGGACTTTTCGACCGTTCCATCGTCTCTTCTTTTTACATTTAGGTCTAGGAAATTGAGCTCATCGTTGTGTTCGTATTCCATGGTGAATTTAATGTTTGGGTGGACCTCATTTAGGCGGTCAAATAATACGGATGCCTGACTCATGTCGTTACAAACAACAAAAGTATCATCGACGGTAGTATGTTGTTTCATTGATAGCGTCAATCAGTCGCGTCTGTTCGAGATAGCCCATGAAGGTGTCTGCTAGAATGGGTCCTAGAGGTGAACCCATGGCGACCCCATCAATTTGTCGGTAGAATTGGTTATTGAATCTAAATTGAATGTCTTTTGTGCAAAGAATTAGTAGTCGTTTCATCTCTGACTCCGGTAATGGCAATAGATCTGTTTGTTTACAAATGATATCTATTGTTTCCATCACTGGTACATTTGTAAATAAGGCAGTCACGTCGTATGACACCATTAGTTTATTGGATATGTCAACGTGATCGACTTCTTTAGAAAATTGGAAGGTGTCATCCAAGCTATGATTTGAAAATTTTTGTCGAATTGGCTTCAATGAATCAGCTAGCCATCGAGCTAGTTTGTGGCATGGTGAGTTTATCATTGATAGTATGGGTCTTAAGGGCACATTGGCCTTATGGATTTTTGGTAGACCGTACATAAATGGGAGTCGTCCACCCTTTGACCTGAGTTCGTTTTAAGTTTTGTTGTCAATCAGTTTCTTGATGAGTAGTTCTTTGAGGCATTTATTCACTTTATTCTTAGTTTTGTCCACCTGAAAGTTTTCGGAATCGTTAAGAATTGTCAACATTTTATGTACATAATCAGTTTTATTCATTATAACAACTCCAGAGCCTTTGTCGGGTCTAAACATGACGATGTCATCATTTTCACGTAGTCTCCTTAGTGCCGCTTTATGCTCATCAGTAAGCATATTTTGTTTTTCGGATGGTGATGTGTGATATTGGTTATTATTATTATTATTCCCTTGGGTTCCATAGTTGAACATAGAGCGGCTGGCTTCAACAAAAATGACAACAACACATCTTCACTTTGTTCTATTTGGCGATGTTCTCTTTTCAGCTGGTTGACTCCATGATTGCCCATTATCTCTCATCTCCTCCTCGAACTCACCCACACGATCTCCTCCATGTCACCATAGCACCGATGACCCACTCGTCCGTCACTTCCCATTGGGATTCCACTCGAGTAATGGATGGCCTGCATTGCGTGCGATGTCATTCGGTGGTCTCCTTCCTCAATGCATGCTCGACCAAACCATCTCCAATACATTTCCTCCTACATATTTGTTGAGCGATCGGCTATTGCTCGGTTAGTTTGTTCGTCGTCAGTGTTTCTTGTTACTAATTGTTTCTGTCCGGCCAGTCATTTGATCTTCAATATGGAGCCAGTCAGCCGTCGAAGGGGGCAGTTGTTGATAAAAGTCTGTATTAGCCTACTGGAAATCCTTTTCGTGACACACGAGTAGTGCAAGTTTCTGACCCATATAGATGAACTGACTGACTTCACTGACATTTGTGTTGAATAGAATCCGAATCTTCTTGTTTATGCTGAGGCGGAGTACAGTGCAAAAGATTTCCAAACTGGTTTCAGCTTGATGAAGGCCCATCTTGCTTGTCTTTCTGATTCTCGCTAGCTGACTGGCTGGCTTTGACATCTTCATCCGTTCCGACTGCCTGTAGTTGAAACGATGCTACAGCGTAGCCAACAGATAAGTGAAGGCAGGAGGTAACCTCTGTTAAATCTCTCTCGTTGTACAAATAAATACCTGTGAGTGGATAACGCATAGTCTCTACATGAAGATTGAGATTTAGAGAAATTCTTCACCTACATTTTTTGTACTGAGTATAATTTCTAACATGAATATATTGTCTCCATTATGGAGGAAATTTTATTCTGCTCTTAATATATTCATTCACTTAATCCTACTCCAAAAATATGGTGGACATATGTGGATGATACATTTACACACAGTGTTAAAAACAGAACATCTTTCTCTATCTTCTTCACACATATAAACTCTCTGGTGAAGGAAATAAAATTCACATTGCAATCGAAAAATGAAAAGGGAGAATTAGTTATGGTGTTAGATTATAAAATAAAATGAATAAAAGGAGATAAATTGTATGTACACTAATGTTTATAAAAAGCCAACGCATTCTGCTAATAGATATTTAGACTTTAATTCATCTCATCCGTTTGTTATCTGTCTGTGAAGGCAGGCTTAGTTAAGTGTCTTACAAAGCGAGCAACAACATTACTAAGTAGTACAACAAAAAAGACCGAAATGATGAAATGAAACAGATAGGAGAAGAATGGCTGGTTGGTGTTAAATAACTAACTGTCCTATACAATTCATTAGGAAAGTCAGAAAAGGTCAAAAGCAAAATAAAAATAATGGTGAAACTACAGTTTTATCGATATAAGGAGGGAGGGGATTCATCTGAAACTCTCACTACGTAGGATTCTCAATTATGCAGGAATTCGTGTGGTGGTGGCATTAAAGCCTACAAACTCAGATTGGAGAAGCTCTGTAGGTGTGTTGAAGGACCCTGTAGGTTGACCCAATTAGACAAAATATTATCATTTACAAAATACTTTGCAATGACTGTGAGTTAGGTCAACTACCTACATAGGTGAGTGAAACTAGTAGATCAGGCAGGAGTAGTCAGATTGTCTGTCAGAACTTAAGAATTTATCCGAGTTTAGATTGATTGATCCCACCCACGAAGGTAAGTTATGTAGAAAAATAACTCAGCACTACATTGCACTGTATGCATTCACACTCGACCACACTATAGAGTGGGAGGGAGAGAGTCAAAATTTAATGAAAACAAAACACGTAGTTCAGCGAAGAGTCTCTTTTCGGCGAATTCACTTTCTTAGCTGCACTATCGCAAATATATATGTGTTATTTTGTGTGTACATTAAGTTTGTCAAACAATAATACAATTGAATGCAAAGGTTCGGTTTCAGATCTCGAATAGCTAATGCTTCAGCTATGTACAGATGGCAAATGCGAAGTCCCTTTGTACGATATTGAGGGACTCTGTGTATCATTGTGAAACATTCATGTGAGGGTGCTCGATGTCCGGAGATGACGAGGTGTTCGAGGATAGAGCTGCTGCTATTCTTCTTGTCTCCCCCTTGACTAACCAAGATGGACAGTGCTCCAGAATACGTTTGTGGACTTGACGTTGCCTACGGCCGATATACTTTGCTCCACAAGTAAATTGATAAATACACATTGTGCTTAGCGTTAGACTGGATTAACTGTCTGCAGGAGAATGTGATACGTAGAGTGGCTGTTGGAAATGTCTTCTTCAGACATTTAGAAAGGCGGTTTCTGAGAATTTCCGCTGTGATCTCACCTTTGAATTCTAGGTTCATGAAGAGAGTCTTCTTAGGAACCGTTGCGATATTTGACACCGGAGGCTTCTCCTTCATGTTTTTGTCGATAAATCTTGGTGGGTACCCGTTCTCTAGTAGGGTTTCACGTAATAAATTCAATTCTTTCTCTACCATGTCTTCCGAGCAGATTTTTCTAATCCTTGAACTTAATGTACGCACCAGGTTTCGCTTTCGGATCAGTGGGAGAAAGCTCTGTAAGTTGATAAACTGTCCAGTCCATGTTGGCTTGCGATATATGGTTATTTTAACTAAACAGGTGAAGATTGGTAATTGGAGTTACGTAATACACAATCAGTCAAGAAAATTAGGTGTCAATGAAATTAGGGTAGTAACAAAGGTGATGAGTCGTCACAAACAGTTGTTAAAAGAAGTTACGTAATAATATGAATAGTTTGATGAGTGAGTTTTACTCAGGATGCACATAGGAACAAAGTAGATAATACGAAATTACGTAAGAGTTCTAAATGAATACA